TCTGTATAAAGACATTGTTCCCAGATTAGCTTCTGTACATGCGATTTGAAGAGGAGTGATTGGGTTTGAAGAGGAGTGAGTGGTTGGATTTGGGTGTGTTTTAAAACAGACAAATACACTTAATAATATGTAAACTTGTCCGTGACATCACTGTTATCAAACAAAATCAAACTGCGAGATTCACTGCTCTTCACCAAATAACTATAGTAACTTTATTCGATATTTCAAGTTAATATAAAAGATTTTATAACTTGATTTAATTTATGTATATGCCATTGATTTTAGTAGGCTAAACATTTAATTTTATTTTTAATCTTTTCTAAATTTTACTATGTATTCTATCATTTGTAATGATTTCAACTATAGGCTTATATACAGTTAGAGTGCTCTGAATTAATACAGTAAATAAGGGAGTTAATGGGTAGGTCTGAGTTTTTCTTTTTTTTCTTTTTTCCTTTTATTTGGGGGTGGGGGATCCTATATTTTTACATCTCAATGTTGACAGGTATGATGTAGCAACACCCTTGCAATATGGTTGGTGATGAGTTTTGCATTGTCAAGCAGCACTCAAACCTTCATCAGAAATTGTACATTTCGATATTGCATATGTCAATTTTGGATAGAAATTGTAGCTGATGCCCATGTCTTTGATTAATTTAACATCTAAATAAATGCAGGGGAGCTCTTTGCTTTCTTTAAGCATTTCAAGATGCTGTCTCAGCAGTATCAAGTGTAGGTTGAGGCAGATATCATAAAGCACCACTGTGATTAGCATCCTTTGTATCTCTCCTTTCCTTTAAACTCATCCTCTCCGTCCTCCTTTTGTTCTCTTCTCTCGCCCTCTCTTTCTTGTTCTCTCTCCACCTTTGATGTGCCAGTTTCCTCAGCTCTGCCCCGGCCTAATGCAGGCAAATTCAGGGCAGCAGGCCAACAGTAAACAGCAGCACTGTACCTACATCAATATGACAAGGCAGTTATTTGTTTACCAGCCTGGAGTTAAGCACAGCAAGGCTGGTTAAGTGTATCGCAGGAGACCCTTATAGCCAAATGAGACTACGACACTTTGTGCTGTAAGAAATCCTCAGTTTTTCCCCTCTTGTCTCCTGAAATTGGTGTCACTCGCATCTATTTATGTGATTACCCCCAAGCAGTGTTTGCTAAAGCACAACACAGACTCCCTAGAGTTAGATGAACAAAGGTAGAGCGTTTCTTCACACTTTTTTCCACACTATAGATTTAAAACATGCACACACTACAAGTACAACCTTAAAGGGAAAGTTCACCCCAAAAGTAGACTTGCTTATTTAGTGGAAAAACGAATTAATAAAGATCGTTTGTGATCAATTAAATGCAGATCAAAAGCTGTCACTACTTTCAGAGGCATCAAAAAATAGTAATGACACTATATGTGGCTCTTGATGATACATTGAGGTTTAATGACGCAAAACAATCAATCTGTGCAAGAAATTAAACATTATTCATTAGAGTCTGGAGTGCAAGCTTCCTGTAGTTTAATGACGTCTGTCAGTGGTTAAGAATCTGTGAAAAGTCAGTCTTCCAGATTGAGATTGCTCACACGTGTAATCTTAAATAATTAAGTAGGTTGCAGCATCAAGGATAAGCAGAATTAAATACCCTTTTGATGAACAATGCATGTTTGTCCTTCCACTCGGTTGTAAAGATTGCCCACGTCATAGCACAACAGGAAACTTGCGATACAGACTATCAAGAAGGAGGTCAGGACTGCTTGCTGAGACTGCGGATGTTAAATTGTTTTTACAAACCAATTATTTTGCTTCATAAGACCTCGAGTCTTATGTTTTTTTCCCACATATGTTTTTATTTACTCTTAAAGTGCCAGCAGCTGTTTACTTGCATTTTATTAATAACCAAGTATCATTAGGGGTGTAACGGATCACGGTTATTCAGATCACAACCTACGGTTTGGAACAGTCGTGTCCCACAGATTAATAATTTTTTTTTACTAGTAGATTAATCCTAAATTTGTAAGGATCACAGAAAGAAATTGCCTCTTGCGTCATTCAAATCCCATGTATGAAAGCAATTAGGCGGTCCTGATGACGGAAGAAGTTGTGTTAGGTTATTTGGGATGTGGTGGGTTTCATTAAAGGTGTTTTCTGTGATTACTTGTTTAGCCTGCATTGATGCATTCAGTGTAAGCTGCATTATTAATCATTAAAAGAAAGTGGTCTCAATAACCACGCAACATAAACTATAAATGATGGTGATTTGCATATATGTTTATTAATTCTTCAAATCGCGGCGTTCAAATCTGTGTTTGAAAAATGCAAAAATTAAGAAAGAGATTTAGTTTTTAGTTTTTTGAGTTAGTTGTGAAGTTACTAACAGTTAAATAACACAGAATTGCTGGGATAACAGTTTATAGTTTAAAATTAAAACCATTTAACAACGCTCAAAAATGAAAGTTGTAGGCAGCAATTACATTATTTAACCAATAGGTGGCCATCAAAAATAAGCCATTGAATAATTCTTAAAATATGATCCATCAAGCAATGAAACAAGAAGTTTTTTTGAGCAAATAACGTAGTCATTTATTGAAAATGAGAATAGAAATAAATATGGGTTGTTCGATTTATAATGTTAGAATTTTATTATTTAGCGTTGTCAGCAACAGTAGTAACAGTGGATTTTTCACAGTACTGAATATTTAACTTTTTTTATTCAGCTGATTATTTCTATTGATTATTTTATTTTAAATAAAATTACAGGTTTTTAGTTCTGTTTGTTAAAACCAAAAGTGCCTTGCAGTACTGTTTTTGTAATAAATGGAAAGCAAATTACATTTGTCTCCTCTCCTTTTAGGCTGATCCAAAAAACGGTCTTGATTCGTGAATAAAAAATATTATATGATCCGAGCCGTTAGGTTTGTGATCTGTTACACCATTAAGTATCATGGTTTCCACCATGGATTAGTTCTTGAAAGATTCCTTCATAATTTACAGTAATCTCTATCACGTTGATGTCTAAATATTTAAGCTTGATACATTGTTATTGATTTGAATGCACAAAATTATTGTCAAACCTGCTTTAGCTAGTTTCCCAGTGCAGTTCTTCAGAAGACTTGGATTGGCATAATTTAGTGTGAATGCTTTGTGCAGCTTTTGAACGCTCCTCCACCACATGTCAACTGTATTTAGATGAGTTCCAACAGTGCAAACTGCTGTTCTGTGTCTTTTTGAATTAGCATCATCTAGCATGCACATATTCGGCATTCCCTTAGCGATAGTTCTGAGAAGGCACATCTTAGCGTAGCTGTAATACGTGTATGTGCGTATTAACTCTGAAGCAAAGTCAAAAGTGTTTTGATAGAACCTTGATTCAGTTGTTAATTTCTTTAGATCATCATATGACAAAGCAATCAAAGCAACTTCATCAGTCATTTACACATAAAAAGCACCTACAAGGGACATTTTCTAATACCCTCCCTTTTTGACTACCCCATGATGTCCTAAAATTCATTCAAAAACAAATCTGTGGGAGTTTGTGAATGGGAAATAAGAGGCATTTGTAATCATCGAACCAATTGCTTCTATTTAGCAATCAGATGACAGTGCTTCTCAAACTGATCATGTGAACAGCGAGATCACTTGCCTGATTACCCCGCTGATTTGTCTGATAAGCTGCCTGTTGATATCAAATTATAAATATATTTAAATGCTCTACTCTTCTGGTTCACAGCTAATGTAACAATATGCTTTTATTAACAGTATTGGGTATTGAGAATGTGATTCTGTATTAGCACTAGGAGGTTATTGCAGTATAAATCTTTATCATGCCCAGCTAAAGAGGGCGCTACTAAGTCTACTTCTGCAGAAGTCAATAAATGCACTGTAAAACTCAACAGTCAACTTTATCAAATGAAATGAGTGTAGTAACTCAAAATAAACTGAAAGTTAATTCTACTCATTTGAAAAGAGTTTTGAACTCAGTGTTGAAGGTAATGATTTAAATAAATATCCCATTCACTTTAACTTAAATGTAGTAAGTTCACAGTACTTATTTAGATTAGTTTAAGTCAAAAGGTTTGTAGCTATCGGTTTCTTCAAATGGTCTGAGTTGCCTTAACTTATTGGGTTTACAGTGCTCACTTAGTTTGAGTTCTCTTAATTTATTGGGTTTTACTATGCTTAAATTGCTTCATTTACTCAAGTGAATTACGTTCACAGTACTCACTAGGTTTAGTTTTTGAACTTAGATAGTTTGTTGCAATCAGTTTCCTCAAATGATGTGAGTTACCTTAAGTCTAGGACACCCATAAACCAGAGATTGTTTCTAAAGTTTACTTAAAGAAATACAGTAGTTTAAAATATTGTCATCTTTTACTCACCCTCATGTCAGTTCAACATTGTGGATCATATAAGATGTTCTAAGTGTTTTGTTTGATACAATATATGTCAATGGTTTCCAGTGTTACTTAGATGTTAGTACTCTTTAAAGGGTCATCTATTTTGTTCCTTAGAAAGTAAAACATATCTTCTAAATCTCTGTTCATAGCTAATACAACCTGTATATAATATTCATAGTACACCAATCTGTAAATATCACCATAGTTTTCTATAATTGCACTTTATAACTTATATCTATATCTTGCACTTGCTAATATTGCACTCCTGGTTAGACGTAAACTGCATTTCGTTACCTTGTACTTGTACATGTGAAATGACAATAAAGTTTAATTTAATTTAATTTAATTTAATTTAATTTAATTTAATTTAATTTAATTTAATTTAATTTAATTTAATTTAATTTAATATGGGTTGAATTGAAATTATATTTTATTTTGATATATTTTATTTGTTACGACTAAAATCAAATAAAATAAATAATCAAAATAGATCAAATCTGATAAAAAAAGTTTTACATGATAATATTTGCATTTATTGGTAGATTAAATACATTTCCTTCTAAATTGACTTGATATTATTGATTATTGACGTGTTTTCTGTCTTTCTCCACAGATCCCCAGCTCAAGGGTATAGTGACCAGGTTATATTGCAGGCAGGGATACTACTTGCAGATGAACCCAGATGGATCTCTTGATGGGACCAAGGATGACAGTAGTAATTCTTGTAAGTGCTCTCTAATTTCATCATATTGTAATTGCTCATAATAGATAATCAAAACATGGATGCAATTTTTGATGCATTTAAAAATTTCGCTGGGCAAAAAGCATAGCTAGACTATAATGTAAAGTGTAAACAAGTGTGCATTATTACCTTTACTGCACACACTTATAAAATCCATGTTACGGATTCATTTCCTGTAGTTATCACTGTTGCTGATATGGCAGTTGGCTGGTGCTTAGGGAGAAGTGTGTGTGCATGTGAGGTGATAACTCAGGAGGCAGTGGTGTATTATTAGCTTCTACTGGGCCTGCTTTTCAAATGCTTCAGGCCAGCTGCTTAATTTGATTTTAATATGCAGCTGTACCGACAGAGTGACACACAGAGGGCTGTCTGTCAGTCACACACTCCGAGAGATGATCACACTTGACATTTGTGTGACACACAGAAACACAAACTGTAGAGGTGGCTTAGCACTATGTGAAACATATTGGCCGGTTATATTTTTAGATACATTTATTGTATTTTCGCTAAACCCTGCTGAAAAATCCAGCTTAAACCAGCTTAGGCTGGTTGGCTGGTTTTAGCTGGTTGACCAGCCTGGTTTTAGAGGGGTTTTGGCCATTTCCAGGCTGGTTTCCAGCCATTTCCAGCCTGGTTTTAGCTGGTCAGGCTGGAAAATTACCAGCCAAATCCAGCTAAAACCAGCTTGACCAGCCTGGTTTAAGCTGGATATAGCTGGTTTTGGCTGGACTCCCAGCTTGGCTAGGCTGGTCAAGCTGGTTTTAGCTGGTAATCTCCCAGCCTGACCAGCTAAGACCAGGCTGGAAATGGCTGGAAACCAGCCTGGAAGTGGCCAAAACCCCTCTAAAACCAGCCTGGTCGACCAGCTAAAACCAGCCAACCAGCCTAGGCTGGTTTAAGCTGGGTTTTTCAACAGGGAAGTAATAAAAAAACAACAGTAGTATGATTTTGCCTTCCTGAAGTATATACAAGTGCCTGCCTTCTATTTATTTTTAGTTTTAGGTACAATTATCATAATTATATTGGGTTTTAATAAAAATTTTAAGTTGCTACCCAAAAATACAGAGAACAGAAAATGTAGTGAGAGGAAACGGGACACTTTTTGGAATATTTTTATTGCATTAATAAAAGATGTAAATGTAGTACGATCATAAATGAACATTTAAGCAACTGGTTAAAAAATTGGAGCCACCCAATATAATTCATCTTATTAAAAAAATAAGGGATATTTACACTAGATCTTTTGGTCTGAACCCAGGTTCGTTTGACGTCAGAGTACGGTACATTTAGCTATTGTGAATGTGTCTGCTGAACACGGGTGCACACCAGTGAATCGTACCCGAGTCTGCCTGAAAGAGTTTGTCTGGGGTATAATTTATGTCCAAGTATGGTGCAATCATACCAAATAATGGAAGTGAACCGCCAACTGTACAACAAACTATCTTTTCATAACATTCATTTGTGTGTGTGTGTGTGTGTGTGTGTGTGTGTGTGTGTGTGTGTGTGTGTGTGTGTGTGTGTGTGTGTGCATCATGTACTGTACCTTAGTGACAAGCGGGACTGAGCTACAGCAATCAAAGTGATAATGCCTGCTTATCTCCTCCAAAAACAGCTACAGCAGACATTGCGCTATGTTCTGAACAATTATAATATTTTTGCGGCAGATGGACACAAGTCACTTTCTGTATGTCCAAAACCAAAAGATTCCGTAAAAGCAGAACGACTGCTATGTCCAGACGTTTTTCCTGTTTGGCGCTTAGCCATACACGTAGCAACAGCCATACACACAACAGCAGCTCGATGATGGAAGCATATTGGGGTGCAGAAGGAAAAAAGACAATGTGAACACAAACCATGCAATAAGGTGGCAAGGGTGGAAATCGAACTTGAGTTCGTTCCAGTCAATTTAAATAAGTGTGAAAGCACTCTAAAGAACCACTTTAGCATGTTTTATTGGTACAAAATTGTCTTAAACTTAAAATAAAAATGTAAGTAGTTATTAACAGAACATTCAGAACAGAAACAGTAAAAAAATAACAGAAAAAAGTCAATCTAAATTATTCCATGTTTTCAGAACACAAATTAAAGCTGTTGTATGTAAGTTTTTGACTTTTCTAAATCACAAAAATGCCCTAATATTTTTGCAGATATTTAAGAAACATGCTAAGTGAACATTCTTGTTTATCTGATAGACAATACTGAAGTCAGATATTCTGCTTTGAAAATGTACATTACGTGCTGGAACACTGTCTTTGTTTTGGTCATTTAACCCACCCAATGGCAGTTTAGCCAAATATATTTCACCACCTTGGGGTGCCTTGGTGAAAAACAGCGTTTCATTCATTCAGTCAGGAAAGCTCTCAAAGTATGCAAAATACTACCTCCGGTGGACACTAATAGCCCCGAAATAAGACAGATTCAGTTTCACATGAGGTTATTAATTAGCAAATAATATAAATATTATGAACGTAAACGATAGGTGAACAGGTCACATTGTAAACCCGTGTCCTAAATACATGCTACGTGGTAACATTTTCAGTGATAAGCAATTTGGCTGTTTGCACTAGACAAAACATGACAGAAATTTAAATACAGCCATTCAGAGGCACAGAAAAGTGCACTCACTGCACTCATTTCACAATCTAATGAATACATATTAAACCTTCGTTCATTCATTTTCTTTTCGGCTTAGTCCCTTTATTAATCTGGGGTCGGCACATCGGAATAAACCGCCAACTTATCCAGCACGTGTTTTATTCAGCGGATGCCCTTCCAGCCGCAACCCATCTCTGGGAAACATCATACACACTCATTCACAGCCATACGCTATGGACAATTTAGCTTACCCAGTTAACGTGCACCTCATGTCTTTGGACTGTAGGGGAAACCGGAGCACCCGGAGGAAACCTACGCGAACGCAGGGAGAACATGCAAAATCCTCACAGAAACACCAACTGACCCAGTCGAGGCTTGAACCAGTGACTTTCTTGCTGTGAGGCGACAGCACTACCTACTGCGCCACTGCATCGCCACATATTAAAACTCTTTATTATTAAATGTTCATGCTGTATCACTGATATATTTTAGCTTGCACTAAGTCGCAGTTCTAAAGTTCAATTTCAAACGTTTTTTTTTTTTTTTTTTAAGAACTGAGGTGAACTGTCTACTGCTGCTTTCAGTAAATTGCAAAAAATGTCACATTAAATGGTATTTAAACTCACATTGTTAGCATTTAACACTGTTAAAAACAGGACGAGGTGTCCCTGAAGTGATCATTGTCAGTTTTCTGTTGTTCAGCTGTGAGAAATAACCATTTCTAATATCAATTCGAGGTGTTGGTTAGAACAAAAACTCCTTTTAATATGGAAAACATTCCTTCTATCATGTGTCTGCTTTTAGCTAGAACATGACTTAAATCAGCCTTTAGGCTTGACTGTCAGGCACACTGCTGTTGGTGTTGTCAGTCTGGCAACCTGCGCTTGTGTGTTTTGAACAAGGTGTGCTATACCTAGTTCTCCAACGGGTGTCAAACTTATATCCTGCACTGTTAACATTTTACTAAAAACATGTACCTATTAATGAAACATAGAAAGAACCAATAATGACCAATTAGTCTCTTACATTTTTCGCAGAGTTGAATTTTGATTGATTGACTGATTGATTGAAAATTCTGGAGCTGTCTTAAAAATATAATTCAGTTTGATACAATTATAGTTATGAATATGCATTGTTTATACAAATTGTATAAGTTACAAACCCAAATACGATTGAGAGATGTAGGAAAAGAGACCGAGTAGAGGAAAAAGAATAAAATGTCATCTGGGACTTAAGTATCATTCATGCTTTAGAAGACAAAGATGTCCATTTACTGTAGTTACCTTTGAAGAATCTGTAGCCGCATGTCCACAGAGGACTTCCAAAAACTCACTTTGATATAACCATCCCACTCTTATTTAGCCACACCAGAATCTTCCAGACCAGGGCTTTTCTGAAATAATTTTCATTCAAGCACCCTGGGAGCCCTGCCAATTACTAGTGAGTTGAAGTGAGTTCATTACACTGTAGGTTTAAATCACCCCTTTGGATGCATTTAGTGTCACCCGCTAGGCTGTTGCTCCCCTCCAGTGCAAACAATGGCCGCTACCTAACAAGACCGAAAAGCTGCTCCAACAACAAAAGATCCATTAAATCTGCCACGCACTGCTACTGTCTCCAATCGCTAGCCTCCTATGCTCCAGCTTGTAGCGCCAGGCTTCTGTTGCTGCCCACTGGGCATAAAAACAATTATTCTACATAATATGATGCCCCCATTCAATTTCTGTGTATCAGTTTTCATGCCCCACACTATCCTTGTTTATGCACACTGTGGAGTGCGGCCCATGTTCAGTTTATGGGTTGTGATTTAAAACCCAGTGTTTATTGTTCTAATTCCATTGTACTGTTGTTTGCCGTTATTAGTAGAATTAGAGATTTGCTCTGCATCTAGATTACGCTTAAAATTGCATAGCGACATTCAGAAAAATGTTTTGATTTTATTTGTTTACTGTAATTGCTTATTTTAGACACCTCTCACTGATTTCTCTTTTAGTTGAATATTTGGTCCCACTTTATATTAAGTGGCCTTAACTAATATTTACTTACATAGGAATTAATTGTTTGTTACAATGTACTTATTGTAAGTACATGTATTTACTGTGTGCTTATGCTTGATTGAATACATTTATGTAATTACATCTGTAAATAACTTTTGTAATTACATTTGTAAATACACTGTTGACCATCCATTACACCTTAACCCACCCTCAAACCTACGCATGCCACCAAACCTGTCCATAACCCAACCTCTATCCCAACTGAAAAGCACCACAAGTGTTCTCTAATACATTATAAACACAGTAGGTACATTGTATTTATTTATTTGATGTAAGTACATAGTAGTTAAGGACACTTAATATAAAGTGGGACTGAATATTTTTTTTATTTTGTTTTAAAATGATATACGTTAGATTAGTCTGTACCAAAGCCAAACTAGAACTAATCTAACAAAAAAAAAAAAACTTAAGATCAGTCCAAACATTTGTACATTCAAATTAAAATGATATTGGTAGGTATTAAACACATTTTTAATAAACAGGAAAAATCAAACAAAACATAAAATAAATTAAATTTAGTCGAACTTAATTTAAATTTAAATGTTTATCAGGTACGTTAGACTTCATGCAGCACTGCGCAGACTGATTGAAATCTTCAAAACCAGCAATTAACTTTTTATGCCATCTCTTTCTTTTACAGTTTATATCATGCTTATTAAACTACTACAACTATTATACTGCAGTATTTTCTTTTGTTAAATAATTTGTTTATAAAGGCTAGATTGTTTGCATAGGTTTATTTTCAACCTTTTTTTACAGACCATTTACTGCATTCAGCTCCATGAACGATTTAAATGATATATTATAGTGAATAACCTAAATATTAACTCAAATACAGTTGAAGTCATAATTATCAGCCCCCTGAATTTTTATTCCCTGTTTAATTTTTTCCCCAATTTCTATTTACTGGAGTGAAAATATTTTCAATACATTTCTGAACATAATAGTTTTAATAACTCATTTCTAATAAGTGATTTATTTTATCTTTGCCATGATGACCGCACATATGAATAGATATTTTTCAAGACACTTCTATACAGATTAAATCGACATTTACAAGCTTAACTAGGTTAATTAGGTTTACTAGGCAGGTTAGGGTAATTAGGCAGGTTATTGTATAATGATGGTTTGTTCTGTAGACTTTCGAAGAAAAAATATAGCTTCAAGGAGCTAATAATTTTGACCTTAAATGGTTTTAAAAAAAAATTAAAAACTGCTTTTATTCTGGCTGAAATAAAACAAATAAGACTTTCTCCAGAAGAAAAAAATATTAATAGACACACTGTGAAAATGACCTTGCTCTGTTAAACATCATTTGGATATATTCAAAAATTTTTTATAAATAAATAAAAATAAAAGAGGGCTAATAATTCTGACTTTGTGTAAGTCTTACAGCAGGGGTCACCAATCTCGGTCCTGGAGGGCCGGTGTCCCTGCAGGGTTTAGCTCCAACCTGCCTCAACACACCTGCCTGGATGTTTTAAGTGTACCTAGTAAGACCTTGATTAGCTTGTTTAGGTGTTTTTGATTAGGGTTGGAGCTAAAATCTGCAGGACACCGGCCCTCCAAGAACAAGTTTGGTGACCACTGTCTTACAGGCTTACAGATTACAGAATAATTATCATTATTCATCCTGACACTCACAAATTAAGATAAAGAACTATTTTAATAAATAATTATACTATTATTTATATGATTATAAACTTTTATTTCCTGTTAAGCCGTTTATGAACACATTTTAAAATTGATATTGATGTGTGTTCCTTTCACTTAAAGTTTAACTTATTTTGGGAATGTTCTTAAGTTTAATCCTTTTGGATTTAAGTGCTTTTTTAAAAAAATGCTTTCGATATCCTAAATAATCTCAATAATTTTTAAGACTTAATCAAAACATCTTGTTTTGGGTTTTACACTAATATATATATATATATATATATATATATATATATATATATATATATATATATATATATATATATATATATATATATATATATATATGAAAATTGTATATCTATAAATGTAAATAAATGTAAACTGCTTTTTAGCATATTCAAACAAGAATTATTAGCCTAAAGTGTGATGTTCACACTCCTAGAATTTGTGCTTATTGCTTTGTATTTAATTGGCCTATTCATTTTTATGTTTATATTACCCTCTCGTTTCCCCTTATTTCCCTTATGCTTTGGTTATATATTTAATTAATAATTTCCTTGTTGTTTAAAAATTAACTATAGTTTGTAAAGACTATATTCTGTTTTATTTGTATGGTAAATCTTTTGTTGTTTTAAATAAAAAAAAATAAATGATGATGATGATGCTATGTGATCGGTCATCATGAAAACCGCAACTTTGAGCCCCGAAGTGTCCAGCTAACTTCGTAGATCACTGGCTGCAGCCGTGGTTCAAGTCGAATGCACCTATCATTTCAGCATCAATATCTCAATGTGAGCATTTGCAATAGACACTTCACAGAATCTGCAATGTGGAGTCAGGATCATAATTGACCAGGAGCCACAGTTCAAAAAACATGATTTATTGTTGCACTCTACAAATTTAAAAAAAGTTTTATGTATTTTTTAGGTCTGTGACAGTGTAGGTATTCCAAGCCAGTTTTAGGCATTAGGAACAATGCTGTTTGTGAATTAAAGAAATGTTAATAAAGACTAAACAGTGCTGTTTTACATTTGCTAATTCCAATTTATTTACTTGAATACTTTCAGACTCTCAGAAAACTATAAAGCACTGTTAATTTTATTTGTGTATTTATCAATGTATGTGATTTTATGCAGACACTGGCCTACAAAATCATCTCAATTAATATACAATTACAAATTCTTTCCAAAAAGAAACATTCAAATCTTTTGGTGAAATTATACTCAATATCGCAATGTGTATCGCAGAAAAATTAGATATCACAATGTTGTTTTTTTTTTTTTTTTCAATATCATGCTATCTTTTTTATTCGTAAAGAAGTTAGGTGACCAAACTCTTATTTTAATGCATATAACTGTTTAAAAATATTATTACTGGCTTTATTTTCTGTGAAACGGATAAAAGTTTTAATTTTTTCAAAAGGAGGAACACTGAACACTGTAAAAGTTTGCCTTGTGAGTAAATGTGAATTAATATATTTGTTAACCCATTGTTTTTACAGCGTTGTTCAACCTCATCCCTGTGGGCCTTCGGGTCGTTGCTATTCAGTCTGTGAAGACGGGCTTGTACATCGCCATGAATGGAGAAGGCCATCTGTACACATCAGTGAGTACACAGTCTTGATTTAAAACAATTCCTACTGATTGAAGTTCTGATTTTTATGAAGAAATCAGGTCTTACAGATGGCAGATCATTCAAGATTTTCATCTGTTCTAGAACCTAGTGGCTTACTGCCTACATAAGCAGTCAAATGCCTCAAAAACAACTGATTTCAGATCATTTAGTTCATTGCTAAGACATAGATGATGTTTTAATAGCAATACATAATACACACCACATACAAGTGTTATGTAAAATAGCCAATAGTAATCAGACTAAAGTGTGCCTTTTTAGAAAGCTCACATGGTTCTCGAAAAGGTTCTGGTTGGATATTTAATCCCCCATAATTTAACTTGAAAATGTCATGAATTTTTGGTCCTGGTCTCATGTAAAATCTGCAATCTCTTGCTATCAGTCGCTAGCCTTCTTTCAGATGTTGACATGGCCGTCTCAATAACAATGACGCATCAGCTCAGGCTTAAAGCTGAGTCCCTCCTCACTTCTGCTTTATACCTCTTAAGCCTGAACTCATCTGAAGAAATATTCTCACTGCAGGTAGAAGACGAGTCATTGTGACCAGTACAAATTTTTGGGGGGCAGAACATCTTGTGATCTATTATTTCATTCTGCAAAAACGGATATAAGTGGTATCCACCCAGACAGGTAGACACATGTTGCATTGGAGAAATCATTAGGAAACTAAAACACATAATAGAGCATGTCTCTCTTGTGGTTTAAACACAGACCACAATTATGCACACCCACACATGCATTAGTAATTTTATCAACGAGATTTGTTGCTGAAACATTAGTGCTACATTACAGTCTTAAGGTTTGCCAATAAACTTCACCTCGACTAGGCTGTCATTAATAACTCGAAACCATGGCAATTAGTCAGGTGTCACACTTCTGTTTGATGCTGGTCATTAATTGACAGTGTTGCAGAGTAAAAATCCATCTTTTCCATGAGTGTTTGACTGAAAACTGTTCATGCACAACTTACAGTATATGTTGCCATTTGCTGGTTGCTTTCTGTTTCTCTCTCTCTCTCTCTCTCTCTCTCTCTCTCTCTCTCTCTCTCTCTCTCTCTCTCTCTCTCTCTCTCTCTCTCTCTCTCTAACTCGCATGGTCTAACAGGGTTGAGCTTTTTTTCCTAAGTTATGTGTGCGTTTTGAGTATAGCATGCAATAAACCAACCAGGGACTCATCTCCCATTTCATTTAAGAGGCAGTTGCATCACACTGTGGCACATTTGCTATTTACATGCTGACTTTGTATGTGGATAAACTAAATGGAAAAACTAAATGCATTATTAGCAAGAAAACATTTAAACAGACCATCTGCAGCGAGAATAAAGAATGAGCCTCCTCCTTTCGGCCTCTTTACTTTCTCTTTACTTTTACTCTTCACTACTTTACTTTCATAGATAAGGAGATCCATTAGCCTACATATTTAATTTAGTTTGTTAAACGCAAGATTTGTTTCTTTTGACATAAACTATTTCTTAATTCAGTTCTAATTCCCAGCAAACTAATAAATGAATAATAATAACGAAGTGTGGTTAAAAAAACTGAGTTATTTCCAAACGCGCATCCTATTCTTATGTCCCATGTGGTGATGCAGACGACTCCAAAACCTGACATGTGGACAAATCTAAACTGTTTTTTATTAAATATGCATATAATAAATAATGCTGCTAATAATAATAACAACATACAAAAGCAAATTGTCATGAATAAACCGAAAAAGCCATCCGAGATGAAGAAGGCATGGAGGCAGTTTTTTTATATTTATGTAGGAAATAATAATTTTCATATTAATTGTTTTGTATTTTAACGTGGCACAAACTGTGAAAATTAGGGTTGCGTTGGTCTGAAAATAGCAACAAATCACGCCAAACTTGCTTGCGTCTTTTTGCGTCAGTTGTATGATAAGGCCCCCAATGTCGCTAGTTAACACACTCAATGCATCATCAACACATCCCATTATTTCTAAAATATCAACCATTTTGTAGAGGTTTATATGCTGGTTTATGGTAAAAGCGATGAAATTAATATATATATTATGAAAAGTGAGAAAATATGTGTAAGTGTAAGACCAATAAATAATTGTATTTACAATAAAACCAAAATCAAGTGAAGTAGTGCAACAGGATTATGTTTGTATGATTTTCTTGTAAACCAACAATGCTGTGTGTGTTTAATCAGGGTATCTTTCTTCCAATTCATATTCATTTTCAAACAAAAAAGGAAAATGAAGAAAACGGACGTTTTTCCGTTTTTCGTTTGCTCACAAAAATCACGCGCTTTATGGACGCACTTCTCTTTTTTATTATTTCATGCAATAGTAAATGCATCGAGTAAAAAGCAAAGAGTTGGCAGCACTGAATAGTAGCCTATATGCATTATTTATATGTGCAAAATGGAACTGGACTCGCTGTAGCACTTTAACAATTTTCTCATTAAGAGGAAGCTTAGATTTGGTTGACCAATCAAAGGAAAATGGGCGTTTCAGCACCGCCTACATGTGTAATGAATTATGAAGTCGTTTATCCATTTTTCTACCTAAAATTAAAAAAACGAAAATCAAGCCAAAATGTCTTTTAGTAGTTTTTTGTGAGCAAACGAAAAACGTTAAAACTGCCGTTTTCTTCGTTTTACTTTTTTTTTGTTTGAAAATGGATATGGATTGGATGGAAAATACCCTGATTGTGTTTAAACTATTATTTAAAACCATCATTCTTTAAATGACTTTAACAGTAACAGTCAAAACATGGTGAGCCATTTGGTAGAGCAGGCAGTTAAAGGGTTCAGATTGTCTATAGCGCTTCTGTACATGACCCATACATGTTTCCAATAATACAGGTATTTATATTATTTGACAATACTTTTCGGATGATGGTTATAAGAACTAATCATGTTCATATGCAGAAGTTGATCTTCTATGTAACAAGCTAAATCTTTCAATATTCTACCGCAGCTGACCCTAGCATATTTCACTTGGGAGACTTACAAAATGACAATCTTCCTTAGTCTTAATGGGCTTGCTAATCAACTGTATGGATGCACCCACACACTCTTACAGCTTTCTATCACTGCTTCCTTTCTCCTCTCTCTGTTCCTGTGTGAATGACTCAGGTAATGGCAGAGAAAGCTTTCCTCGTTTTTCTCTGTCTCCTTTCTGAGGTTTGTACATTCATTTGTCATTATGCCTCTTTTCTACGAGAATTTGCAGTTATTATCTGACCCTCCATCCATTAGGGGCCGTTTTTCATTAGTGAAGAAAACAAGCGCACTTATCCTGTAGATGCCCTCTGATTTTATTAAAAAGTGACATTTCATTGTAGCACTACAGCAAACATGAGTTTAACTTTGTTTTGAGCATTTTTGAAGAGTGTTGTACTTTATAGAATTAATAAAAATAGTCATAAATGGGATTAGTATTTGTAACATTTTAGAACACACTGAGATTTATTACCATGCCATCGAAAACCAATGGTCTGTTTGACTACAATGAGTTTGGAAACAATTTTGCAACCCCTTCCTTTCATTCTACATTTTATTGTATCACAGATTAATGACATTTTATAGTGTACGATCAATCGTTACTCATTTGCCTTCATCAGTCAAACACAAATGAAGGCCCGCTGACGGCCCACTTTGATTAGTTGTTCTCCATTCTCTCTTAGAGTCAGGCTGAGAGAATACGATAGTCCCGTTGAATAGAGCCGAATTCCATTAAGAAGCTCTTGCACTGCATCCTGGTCTTTTGTCTGTCAGGCCGTTTTTTTGTAAAGCGCGGGAGTACAAGTGACCCGATAGTATCAAAACGTCCTGGAGTCTCGGCACAATAGACTCATGCCTGGGAGAAAAGAAAGACTTCAATAATCTTCCATTTTTCAATCCTCCTCTTTTGTTCAAAGGGCTCAAACTCTGCTTTCCTCTCAGCCGCTGATGTTCATAGGCTGATTTATCCATTGGAATAATAATCAAGCTGCTTTTCTGGGTGGCTGCAGGTGTGACAGTTATGTGGTTCTATAAATACAAAACAGACAATTGCTCTGAAATGCTAACATTGCTTCTCGAATGAATGAGAAATTCATATTCATAAGCTCAACTGTTAAAACAAATAGGGAAGAATTAAGGGAGTCACATGCATTTGTTCATTAAAATCTCAGTATGAGGTTATAAGGCCGAACGATTTGGCTTTCCGTGACTCTCTGGCTCTCTTCAAAGCTGTTTGTTCTCCACTATGGATTGAAGAGAGGCAAGTCTATAGCTTTATCGCCTTGCCACACTTGTTAGCGCTACCTTTCATGAGTGTTAGATTGACTCTTCACATCAGTAGACTGTTCCCAGTAGACTTGCTTTCCTTTGGTGTTTATGTAGTTTGAACTATTGCGACCAATAGTTATAGTTAGTTCACCCGATAGGGCCAATTTGATTATATGTGTTTGTTTTAAAGAGCCCCTATTATGTAACACAGCACTAAGTGAATGAACACATCCAGCTAAGGTTTAAATCTGAAAGTACACAGTGTTTAAAACTGTTGATTCTTTAACAACAACAACAACAACAACAACAATAATAATAATAATAATAAAAATAATAATAATAAATATTCCTTACATTTTATATAGCCCTTTCTAGACACTCGAAGCGCTTTACACATTCTTTGGGAGGAATCTCCTCAACCACCACTAGTGTGCAGCATCCACTTGGAAGACGTGAAGGCAGCCATTTTGTGCCAGACCACACACCGGCTGATTAGTGGAGAGTAGACATAGTGATGAAGCCAATTATGATATGGGGATGGTTAGGAGGCCATGATGGACAGAGGCCAGTGGGCAAATTCGGCCAGGATGCCGGGGTTAAACACCAACTTTTTTCAAAGGACATCCTGGGATTTTTAAAGACCACAGAGAGTGAGGACCTGGGTTTAACATCTCATCTGAAAGATGGCGCTCACTGAGCAGCATAGAGTCCCTATCAATACACTGAAGCATT